TACATACATACATCATCAAACAATTTCTTACAGAATAGATACCATGCAATCGGAGTACATCCAATTATCTTTCTTTATGCCTCAAACGGCAGGTGTGCAATCACATATGAGTGGACGCATATAGCGTGACATGTTCTCTTGCGTGACCAACCGCTATCCTAATCAAGGTCGTCAGCGCTGCAGACATCGCTGAGAAAGCCATTTCTAGTCATTTGTTGATTTTTTCTTACCGTAATGGAGGGTGAACTGATGGGGTTAGAGCAATTCAAGGTTATGTTGCGTTGAGTAGCAGTATTTGTTTTTTTTTTATAAGAGTTAAAGCATTTGCTACATGATGTTACTTGAAATATTGCGTTCAGAAATGCAAATTTAGTTTTAGTCTCATTTCTGTGAAGATCGGCAAAAAGTAATTAAAAGATATCGTGCAAAAGTATTTGTTAACCTCAGATTTTTTTCTGTAACAGTCGAGTTCTTAGAAATAAAGTATTCTTTTATTTTTCCGAAATGGTCTTAGTGAATTTTTAATGTATGTTCTAGGAGCTGCAATACTTGTTTGTGGATTCACAATGGTCTTGATTCCTCCTTGGCATGCAAGTGACCAAGTGGCTAAATCCACGAATTGATGGTAATTCGTCACACGTTCCGTTGATCAGGATGGTCGCATTTTATCCTTTTAAGTGTTTTAAGCACTCAAGTTGCTGTTAAATTCAATTTTATTATTATCATATGTTAGACTTAATATGGGTAATATCTTACAACAATGACTTGACGTTTTTAAATTATGTGTGTTAATTATATATCACAAAAGAATTGTAGAATCATTAGGAATTTTGTTCTTGAGACGGGTGAAATGGGCAGTTTTCTCGCCTGGATTCGAACTCCGGATCTCCCAAATACGTCTCGAGTGTGCTTCCAGTTACACCATGAAGGCACGCAGAGAGAAGGGAGAAAATACCTTATAGAATAAATCTGGGAAATAAAGCCAGAAGATGGAAAGCAAATTTTAGAAATAATTTTATTTTGTTCATCGGTGAAGAAGACTAATAATTTTAGTAGCGTTCTTAAGATTATAATTTATCACACTAATCTAATACGAATACTTTTAGATTTTTTTATTATTTCTCTCACGCTAATGTCGAACAGTAATTATATAGCAAGCTTATAGCCTTCGTATGTGTTAATGTTATTAATTAGATTTATTTCGTATGACTTAGTATGCTAAATTATCTTAGTAATATTACCAGTATTTAATATGGCTTCGCGTATATAACATTCTTTTCTTCGAGTCTTATTAGTCAATTTTTCGATATTTTTCGTTGTCATGCTAACATTTATACTTTCCATGTTTATTTATCCATGACTTACATTTTTGTATTATCAAGTTTTGAAGTTAAAGCAAAAGCTGCGCAGTTACTTAGCTTGCGGACTATACTGTAATACCATCGAATTACTTAATGTTACGTAAATAAAAAAATAATAATTGTGATAGATTATTTAAATATTTCAATAAATTTAGAACAGAAACTGCTGTAGGAGAAATTATGAAAACCAGGAATCTCATGCAATAATTTCTTGTTTGCGAAGTTACGCTAAGATTTTAAATGAAAATGGTGGTTTGGGCCAACACTGTTTCAGGATCATTTAAATAACGAAAATATCGAACATAGGATGTGGTTTAACGAACTTCAGAGGAGAGAAGATAAAAATTAGAGGAGAGATGTTGAGATTAAAGTGATATCCTAAATCGTACCTCATTAAAATTTTTGTTATAATTGCATATAAACAAAATATCGGTTATTATATAAAATAAATGAGAAATCTAAAACAAATCAAAGTTAATTATATCACATTTTGCGCAAGCTATAAATATTTTTTTAAAAAAAAGTAGGAACAAATATGAAACTCAAAATTACTAGTTTTAATTTGGCCACATACCCTTTCTGTCTTAAAAATACTAATATACGAATCTAAAGTGCGTCATCTGAAAATTTAATCCGGTTTTTTTTTGTTTGTTTGTTTATGTAATTATGCTGCAATGTGGTTAACTCTCAGCCAAATCAGAGTAAAGAAATTTTAGTCTGTAACTATCTCTGCTACTAACTGCTAAAAAGATGTAAACGCCAACGTTACCTAATGAATATAACCGTTAAATTATCGATTACTTTAACGGTTAAACATAATCGCTACCATCGTTAAATTAAATACTATGTTGGTTTTATGGGTTATAATGATGCTCTCATATTCAGTTTAAGCATTGTCAATAAAAAATTTTAAAGCGCGTCTTCTATTATGTTCCTGATTTATTAACTTAACTAACTTGTAAAGATTTTATTTTTTATTCTAACCAATTATTTTTAATTTTAGAAACTTTCCTTTCCCTTCTAATTTCAGTTTCCTGAATTTTAATGACGTGTATGCGAATCTAAATGAGTTGAAATCGGTATTTAAGCAGCGGGTTTTAGGAGCTTATAGTAGGAGAATTAGTTTCGAATTTATGCCGCGTGTTTGAAGTAGCTTTGTGCGTGAATAGTTGATGCTTAGCAACTCTCTTTAGATTATATTGATATTTTAGGTTCGGCTTTGCTTTGTGCAGCCGATTTAGCGGTTTAGATAACGATGGAGCCAGTATTACTTTATTGTGATTGTACATCTTATTTTTCTGTTAAGTTACTTAGCCACAATTGGTGGTAGATTATGAACACCAAGTGAGTGCGTTCTGTTAAGTTTAGTTCAAATAAAAAGGTTATTTAAACCTTCTTCAACAATCATCTGTTCTTCCAAGACCTAGCGAGAATTCGTTGCTTACTCTTTTCAATAGGATCTACAGAGTATGATTTCAAAAAATACTAAAAACTCTACAAACTTACATAAAGTATTTCTTATGTTTAGAAAAATTTTACCGCAGTAGAAATAGAATAATGACGAAACTATATTTTCTCGCCAAAATTATCGAGTTGGCGCATAGATATATATGCAGAAATTGTTTTGGTACATGTTGTTCCATAAGGGAGAAGATCCATATATCTTCACAGTCTTATAAACTGTGCACAAAATTCCTTTGGTACAAAAAATATCTATTCAATCAAAGTTCTTCATTTTTAAATTTAAAATATCGTTTGTTTGATTGCAGTAATGACCGGAATAAGTGAATTTCTGAAGCTGTCCGCTTATTAGATATTGCAAAACCTTGAAAAGTGATCGTCCAGGCTCAAACTCCAAATCAGAGGTTCAAATTAGTATATTTCGTCACACGTGGAAAAATATTTGCTGACGCATGCATTCGTCACATGTTAGTTTTCCATGTGATTTGCAACTAATCCTATTTTTCACTTTCTAACTCGTTCTGTGAAATCTCATGCCTACGCTTTTAAGATACCAGAAACGCATCTAATTTGCTCTAATTATTCCACTTATTCTTCTTTTCGAGATATTTCCTTTTGCAAAATATCAAGCCCATTGCTATTAACAAGAAAAGTAGGAAATGTTCTTACTAGGACGTAACTTTGACAAAATAAAGAATGAGAGAAACATGAATTCAATTGCATTTCAGTCTCTGCTTTCAGCTATTTAAATCTTTTAATTAAACTGTAAATATCATTTATGGCCTGCTTCTTTGCAAGAGAAAATATAAAGCTTTTAATGCGCACGCATTAGGATAGAATGTATAGAAATGAAAAAAAGACTTGCTTAACTATTTTTGCGCACGTAAACGTGTTACAAAAATTTAATATGCATGCATTAGAATAGTTTATATTGAAATGAATAGGCTGATTAAACCGATTTTGCATAAAAAATGCAGTCCAAAACGTATTTGAAATTGAAATGAAATTTTAATGCTATACTATAAAATCGTATCAGGAAATCTGGCAAAGAACATCAGCCATCTTCCACTCATTAATGTTTTGTTTAAAAAGACATAGAAAAATAAGACTCCCCTCGACAACTTTTAAAATGCAGAAAACTTTGATGATGATAAAAATAAGATCTTTGATGTTTAAAATCGGGAGAGATTAGTGGCAGATCATCTCAAGAGTCGATTGCTGAGCCTTTATTAAACTTACTTTATGTTTTCTGTGCACTAAATAGGAAATTTATCGGAACAGAGAGGTAGGATTCGCGAAAGTTGATATCATTGCTTTTATCACTAAGTTACTGAATTCAAAATTCGCGTTAAAGTAATTGAAGCTTAAAACCGAGATAAAAATAAAATGTAGATGTTAACTAAGACAAATCCAAGGTGATCATCGGAAAGAAACGGGAAAAGAACATAACAGAAAAATTAAAGTGGCAAGCGATCCCTACAACAAGAGTATTCCAGTGTTCTCGTAGGCGATTTACCTCAGCATCATTTAAACGTGTAGTGTATTTAATTATGGCAAAGCACACTAGGGCTATCTTGCCTAGGGAGGATGCATGGTGGAGACTTTCTAAGGGAAACGGATCGTATACACGTTCACTGCGAAAACCACGAAAACGCCCATGCAGCCAGCCCGTACGCGGATTCGAACAAAGACCGAACTACCAGTGTTCAGCGACTTTACCGCTCGGCCGCTGGTGGGCCCTCAGCATCATTTAAAGAAATTAAATGATAAAAAAACACATAAAATCCTATAGAACAAAAGGCTCAGAAAGAAGACAGTTGAACTTCTCATTGAAATAATCTACACTCGGCAGCAAGGTATTAAAACTGCTTAAAGATTTCTATCGTAAATACGATAACTGTGGACAAATGTAAGGCTGACTTCAGTAATTATGTTCTTAACGTGATAGTTAAGAACATAACTACTGATGTCAGCCTTACATTTGGTTAAAAAGAATTAAATAATTCTCTTTTAAGAATGAGGGATAAAGGAATAGTGCTTGCCACCTTTTTATTGAAATTTAGCTAAAGTATAGTCTTGGTTACTGTTCTTTGCTTCTCTGTATATCTTCTTTGGAATGCTTACTCTTTTAAATGAACTTACGCAAATAATGGCATCATGTTTTTCTCTCTTTTGTAGGCTCCTTATGATGTCTCATATCATCGACTGAACATATTTCTGTTCTTCTGGCTTTACCTGGAGATGGACACTTAAGGACACCCGCACTGGCATGGCAAAACCATACTGGATTCGAGATTCAAAACAGATCAAAAGTATATAACATGATTAATCCACGGGGCATATCACGCAGATATGCTTAAATTTGTAATAGGTGTCCGAGCACCGAAATTAATTAAACTACGGTAACAGAAATTTTGGAATCCTATCCTAACAGAATAGAGTTTAGATTAGGTTAGATTATTTGAATATGGAAGGCACATGAAAGTTAATCTGCCTAAGAGAGGAGATGATCGTGAATGTCTTTCTAAGGGAAATTGGTTCGTATTCATGTTACACATAGTTAAAACCACGAAAATCAACTATGTACCGAGTCCGTTCACCTAGGATCGAACCCAGGTGGAACTTCCAGTATTCAGCGGTCTTCAACCCTCGACACGCCCACCAACTTCCAGTTGGTAAATTTGCTGAATACACGAGCGGCTAAAACCCGCCGGGAACTGGAGAAATTCAACCAATCAGAGAGGACCGTTGCGCCAGGAACTTTTGGCATCATTTTCCGATCGCCAAACGCAATTTTTTACAAAACTGGTATACAAGAACTCACTTGTTCATTTTATGGTAACTTGTTCGTACTTCTTGGTTAGAAGTAGTTCGTTTATTTTGGTTATTTTGTGGTACACTGATATGATTTAATATTTAATTTACTGTACGGGAGCTAAATATGTAAATCTCAATTTCGAAAACAAATGCAACTTTATATGCTACTCAATTTGCTATCTTCATACCGAATAACTTTTTGATACATATTTAAATAAAGGGTAAAAATAATAATTGATAAAAATTACCGTATTGTGAAATTTCTTGGCTGTTTGTGCGTTTGAAAAGGCTTGCTGATATCTAGGTTGTTATTATTTCATGTACTGTAAACATCGTAAAATTTAATACAGAAAAATATTTTGTCTTTTTTTTATTTAAACTACTTTTAAAACTTTTAGAAATCCCTCTTTTGTGAATTTTTCTGTGATTAAAACTAATACCAAAAGCTTCTACTCAAATATAGAAAATACAATGATTATTCAGAGAATCTATATATTAAAATGCGATGTGGATAACTAAAAAACCCCAGTGACGCAAATCAGGTACCAGTAACTCCCAAAAGAAAAAAAATATTGAAAAATAACATGAAACTTGTTTATGCATTATTCTCCATCTAAATAATTCTATTTCATTTCATTGTGTTACGTAAAAATAAAGATATAATTTTTAAAGTCTTGAAACATTAACACAATCAAGTAATTTTTATTCATGACGAATCTGTGAAGTATTTTTGACTCTGTATTACACTGTGTATGTTACTATGTACATTATTTTCTTTTATTGTCAGGACTTTTCTGAAAAATATGCGTAATTTATCACCTTAATTAGTCTCGAGAGTTTGTAAAGGAAATCACACAGCCTTTTATTCTGCAATTTTAATTTCATTTGCTTATGATTTCAAATGTCATCCCTAGCGAAATTCTGTATAAGTTTTATTGAAATACCATGCATTTTCTTTTTCTGTATAAATAAAGTATTCTAACAACAGCTACCACCATTGGATGCCTCCACTTTTTATTTTGTAAGAAGCAACAAACTGTATACTGTAGCCTACACATCTGCTGCCTATGTTCCTATAATTTGCTATCATTTCTGATTGTGGAATTGTGGTGAGTTTTCATAATTCTGTATTTTTTCAGTAGAAATTTAAATATGAAAAATTAAATTTGTTGTTTTTTGATAAATAAATTTTTTTTTGTAGTCTTAAAAACCAGAGCACGCATAAAAATATTTCAGTTGATAAGAGATTGTATAATTTTTTTTTTTAGTTCTGTATTAATGGTAGTAAATGAGAATTTTTCTTATTTGCTTAATTCATTATTGCAAAGCATGAAAATAGTGTCTTCTGAGGGTAGAAGACTTTCATGAAGTATAGTTAAAAGAATATGACTTCTATTCATGTGACACATGAGAAATATGCCATGCAGCTAGCTTGTCCCCCAGCGGTCAAACTATCAGTGCTCCTTAGTCTTATCCGCTCGATTGCTGATGAATATTAATTATGGAAGATGGTAGTAATTTTTCTCAGTGTGAAAATTTTGTGACTCTATAGAAAGTTTCTCACTTTAGTCTGCTCCAGGATCTTCGGATGAAGTTATCATTACATGATGTATCATCGTTTTTCCTTCATATCGAAACTGATTTGGAAACTGCATTTTTTCATTTGGGATAATTGTTCCTAGTAGCAGAATAACTGTACAAATAGGACTCTGTTTTTAATTGTTATTCTTCAAGAAGATTTAATAAATTAACATCATTCAGTTTATTATGGCATTGTTGCTAAGAGTCGAAAATGAGTTTAAGACAAATGAGTGGTATCTGAGTATAAGCGTGCATTTAATTACATAAATTAACATTCATTTTACAATGGTTTACACTAATGTTATGTTTTCCCAATATCT